AGCTTTACAAACATATCCCACCATCCTTTTTTTCTAGAAAGGAAAAATGATAGATTTCTATTCAAACGGAAACATTAGCACAGGCATAACTATTTAATCACAAGCAGCGTTTCAACATGTATATTGTTAAACACATCTATCCATCTACATGAGAGGAGAAATGATCAGATAGGAAATTCGAACAAAATACACTAAGAGCTTTAGTCTGGTCTTACTCAAATTGAGAGGGAAACGTTAGACAAAAACATTCTTAACTACTGGTATTTTCAGTTGCTTGTCTCCATTAGGATCTTTTGCCAAGAGGATTTAGACACCAACGCTTTAAGGTTTTCTGTCTGCTGCTAATGTGCAATATCTTACTACCTCATATTAAAAAGGTTATATTAGCCTTCTTGCACACAAACTATGTCGCAGTGCAGTGAATTCTCTAAGTCTACTAGTAGGCATCATTCTTGATTTTTAAATGCTCTCCGTTGTATATGAATCCAGCTGGCTCACTGTTAGCACTAGACATTGTAACTGCCTGAAGAACCATGCGTGCATGTTTGTCTGTAGGAGTGGCAAAGAGGAGAATGGCAAGTAGGGTGAATTGAGAAGGAAGGGAGGACACGAGCAAGAGAGAGAACAGGGAGATCTGAGAAGTAACTAGAGGAAGAGAAACAGGAAAAGTAGATAGGCAAGAAGACTGATAGCATCTTTATCACAGATGAAGTTGTACCATACTCCTGTAAATCAGGAATATCCTCTTCCTTCTTGGTTCTTTTTAGGGTGCTTTGGAATAGTTAGCTGTGGAATATAACATTTTCTTGAAGTCGTGGTGAACTTTCAGTGGTTTGTGTAATTTGCAGAAACCTGTGATGAAATTATAGCATTTTAATGCTAAATTTGACTTTTTAGTAGTATTGCATAAATTTTGTGATCCAAATTACTTCTGAAGGAATCCTTTCTTCCTGCTCTTGTCTCTCCCCTCTGCTCCTCCCTATTCCATCACTCTCTTTGTTGCAGTGGGCTTACATCACTCATTTGAATGGTCACTTTTTGCACTGCTTGTAGTAATGTTGCAGTTTATGCCTAGAAGTGTTTGGATTTTTCGTTTAGGGTGCAGACCTTTATTATATACATTGCTTATATAAATTTCATATTGCTGAAAAAGTTTAAAAATAAATAAAATGGTTTATTCCATGATAATTTGTTGAAAGTATATGGCATTTAATTTTAGTGAGCTGCTCTTATCTAAACTCAACTCTGCTTTTATCCAGACTTAGAAGCTTTATGTGCACTCAGTTAAAAGCTAAGAATGCATAGGAGTGTCAGTTTAAATGGCTGGAAGTTGATGTGGAATACTTGAAATAGCTCCAGGTGTTGTGTAAGCTCCTGAAAGTAGTTAGAACATAAAAAACAAAATGACCAAATGAAAACCCACAAAATAAACCTTTAATCTTTCACCAGATTTAATTTGATACCTGATCATAAAGGCAAAGTTTTAAATTGCAGTAATTTATATACAGTAAACAAGTAATGGATTGAGTTTTTCTTCCCAAATCACCAGTTTAAATCCAGACCAGGGTGGTGGTAATTGAAAGCCCTTTCCATCTGATTGCTGTTTCATAGTTTATGTAAAATAGAATGATGGTTTCAGTCAGGGTCCTAGGGAACAGATGTTCATATAACAAAACCACCATCACAAGTAGCTGAATTGTCTACAATCTCAGCAGAGAGGCCAAGGATTGAACTCTCTCTCCACGTCCTACATATCTTGCATTGCCTCTGGCCACTACATATCTGTTCTTCAGTTTCAGCCACAGGCCTTTGCATTCCTCTACCTTTTTATGATTCACTTAAAAAAAAAAACTAGTAGGATTACTTTTCCTTTAGCACATTTAATATTTTATAATGAATGTTAGTTAATTCTGATTGTTCATATTGATGACTTAGATGCAAACTCCTCTAGACTGTTGTAATAGTTGAAAATTGTGTTGTATGTTTTTAAAAAGGTGATTTCCCCTTCATCTCTAATATCTTGTATGCCATATATAATACTGATGTCATACTATTTTAGTCCATAATCTACCCTTTCCTTGAATCTCCATGAGTCTAAAATATTGAATATGATTGTTTTGCCTGATTTTATTGAAAGGTATATGTGAGAAGATGACGAAGTATTTGCATTTGTTTGTAATTACCCTTTCAGGCTTGTTATAGTGGTATTTTTGTTATTCTTCAGGGTGCAGTATAAGGCTTACCCCCTTGTTCCGTTTTTTAATTAATTACCATCTCAGCAAAAAACAGTTTGTGTATAATTTTGAGTCACCCATTCAATTTGTGGGTTTAAAATTGAGCATGAGGCATCCAGATGCCAGTGATGAACATTATACAACAAATAATTTTGCACCCTATATGCCTGCCAACATCATGTGACCAAAAATTTGCATAAAATCGCACAAATTTGCATAAAGTATTTCTGATAGTGTGGGAGCTCGCTGACGAAACCACAATCTCCAGTTAATTAATTCTATGCCTTCCCATTTCGGCCTAGCCCCATATCTGCCTCATCAATTAATGCTGTGCTCCTCAGCTCCACATCATTTTTGTACTTCTGGCCCCCCATTATCTGCCCTGTGACTGGCACACTTCTGATGTTCCTCCACCTCTCTAGGTTCTTTTTTCCTCACAGCTCCAGGGGTGATACTGCACCTCCGTCCCCAAGTCTGGCGGATATAGCTCTAGCACGTGTTCTTGATCTTCCCATCTTGTTTCCCAGGCTTAGAGTTGCTGAGGGAGAGGCAAGGGGAAGCATGGAGGGAGCAGCCGAGAGGAACCAACTCATTACAAGAAGAGAGGGGGGAGGAGGGAGCAGAGCAACCCCGAGCTGCTGGGATTCCTCCTCCTTTTTTGAGTTCCCCTTTGTGATAATGGTATTGGTGCCTCCCTCTTCCCATCCGCCCCTCAAAACTTCTAACAACTCCTGAGGAGAGGAAAAGAGCTCTTCTAGCCATATGCAGCAGGTCTGATTGGTTGCTCCTCCTAGGGAGATGGGAGAATGAGTAGGGGCAATAAGGGGGGGTTTCTTCAAAGACTCTAGATATGCTGGGTCTGACTTCATAGAGGGGGATCACTCCAATAACTGATTTCACAGGAAAATACATTCCAGTGTTGTTTTGGGGTGAGTGTTTTTCATGTTCATGTTACCTGTATTGTGTGAAATGTTTGTTTTTGTTTTATCATCTTCTTGTAAGATTCCAAGAAATTGATTGTGTCCTTATTAGAAGAGTGGCTGCCATTAAAAAGATAGAATTTGCCAACAGTTACCACATAATAGCAGAGCTTAGGAAGGGGATTTAATAAATTTAATTAAATATCAGAGAACCAGTTCTTCATGTGCTTGATAATGGTTGGCATATGTTGAGTTCTTAATAGATTCTGCCATAAAGCACTTTTTCTAAAGTGAAACAAAAAGAAAAATAATTTATTTCTAAGGTGAGGAATCCACTGTAACATAGTAAATATAGTTTATCATTTTAGAAAATTCAAATATACATCATGCAGATGTAGAATTGTAATATAAATATTTTGCTTTTACATTCACGCTTGCAGAAGTGCTCTCAAGTTTGTTTTCTTTTGTTTCCAAATAATTTGTTTCTGTTTTTCTTTCCTTTTCTTGCCTCTTTGTAAAGGAGTCAGTCACTGTCAGCATAAAGTAAAGAAAGCTAGGCGCTTTCTCCCTTTCGTCTTCTGTTCCCATGAGCCACCGCCTAAGGGTACTGCACTGCTCTTTGTACAGGCTGCCTTATTAACCCAAAACGGAATATACTAACTCTGTTACTGTTTGTTTACAATTTTACTCCAGCCTCAGGTAAACAGAGTTCCAAGAATAATCACGTTAAATTTCTGCTGTCCCCTACAATTGGATCTTCAGTGAGATGTGTCATATACTTGATACTATTGTTATAGGAGAGTTTGTTCTGTCGTATGTGACGTGGCAAATGATTTAGTAATTTTAATTGTACAGTTGCTCAGCCACAAAATCCCTCAGCTTCCTTCTTTCAGTGGTAAACTTGGATTGCATTCTTGGACCCCTGATACAGCATGCAAATGAATGAAATAGGATAGCAGCAATAAATGTAATTTAAGATTACATATTGAATTAAAGAGTAAACACAGTGATGCTGGCTGCTGTGTACTCATCCAGTGTTGTCTGGACAGTTTGGGCTGTGTGGGGAAAGGGAAAATGGATGTAATAAAATGTGCATTAATTTTACAATAGAAATGTGCATTTTTAATTTTATTTGTAATTAACGCTTAAAATGCATCACATTCTGGTGTGGATATTTGGGATGGCATAAGGCCTATAGACTAAATCCAGAATATCAGTGTTAATTTGAATAAGTGCCCTATGGACTTGTTCCATTTGTCATTATTTAAAACACAGTTTCATATAACTATAGTTTGTTCAATAAAATGAATATTAAGTTGTTCCGTATCTTGTCAGTGTCTAAGCAATAGCATAATAATACATCCAATGTGAAAGCAGTAGCACCAATTCTAAGTATCTGAAGGTATAACTGTATGTACAAAGCTTTAGTGGCCAGATCCTCAGCTGGTGTAAATCAGTTTTGCTCATCTGGCCTAGGAGCTTTATCTTGGTAATGGAAGCGTCATATAAAATAAAAAATCGACACTTTGTAACAAAATGAATTAACTGGTTCCCCTCCTAAATTCGATTGTTGTATGTCATGCAACAGTCACTAGCCTATATTTAATTGTATGCACTGAAAAGTTTAAATACTCCTCCGTATCTTGAGTTTTAGGGGAAATGTCTTAAATTCCACTACCTTTCTGGTTTCTCTTGAGCTAAGTGTATAAGATAACTGCAGTTTTGCTATATTCTTCGTTTATTCATGATTTTAATAGTGTATATCCTCCCCCCTCCCCCTTCTCTCTCTGTCCCTTCTCTCTCCCCTTTGTTTTTCTCTCTCCTTGCATGCTACCTGGATCTGCAGATGAAATTAGTGGGGACGGTAATATGTGTTTTCTAGTCTATGTCTTACTAACATGCAATATGCGGCCTTTATATCCATATATAACTAATATGCATTTCAGTGATCAATTTTTATACAGATCATAGTATGAAAAAACTCCAACATGCATTAGAGATCAGCTGGTATAGTCAAATATTGCACCTTATGAAACAGCGCTACTGGTATTATCTGCTAGGCTGGGACTGAATAAGGAAAACATTCTCAAATACTGTATGCAGTGGGTTTTGTACCATTTTATCAATCATGTTATCAAGTATGAATTGCATGTGTTTGCAGTGAGACTTTTGGCATGGAGCAGAGGAAGTGTGGGCTTTTCAAGAGTGTTGGTTCATTTTGATGAAGATAACCGGCATAATGTAGACAAAATGAATTAAGTAACTTTTCTTCAATGAGTAACGTCAATAGACATGACACAAACTGGTAAATGATTCCATCAGGTGATGCTTTCACTTCAAAGGCATGCTAACATCAAAGTCCTCTGCTGCCCATTGGTCATATGCCTGGAGTGAAGAGAAGTTGTGCAACACAGAGAAGTTTAGTTTCAGCATATGGAATGTTTGACAGGTTTTAGGCGTGAAACCACTAAGTTAATGGCAGAATCTTTACAGTTATTCTTAAGATGGTGGAAATTGTAATAATAACGTTATACCTAAAATACACTTTGTCCTGTATTTTCAAAAATGAGTAGTGATTTTGGGTGCCTCACTGTATGGATGTCCCCCTTGACACACTATTAAAGAAGCCTAATTTTCCATAAAGTGTTGAGCAGCCACACTCTGAAAATAAGTCCCCTTTAAGCAGTCTCAGATTGGACATCCAAAATCACTATTCATTTTTGAAAATCTAGGGTCACTTACATAATACTATTGAGAAATCAGACTTCCATCAGTGAGTCAATAGTTCATATAACATAATTAGGAAATGAATAACTCCCTGACCTCAAACAAGTATCAATAAGAGTATGAAAAGTGAAAAAAATTAGAAATAAAAGGTAATGACGCTCTGCTGTCCCCTCATTAAAATGTTCAGGAAGTGTTAACCAACTTTTGCTTAGTTCTTTTGGATATAAATCATAGTAAGGTAGCACCACGTAAGTTTTCTCTCTGCCCTTAGAAATCTGTTAGCTTAGTGAGGGCTATTGACCTAACAACATTTGGTCATATTTCTCTTATAAACTCAGATGTTACACAGCTGTTCTTCCCTTATGTGCTAACCTTACTAATCTTTTACTGTGGGTTATATGTATGTTTCATTTCATGTTATACATTAAAGACAATAATAAATACTTGAAAATGCTCTGAAAGGGGACAGTCTCGCAGAACATTTCAGAGAGAACATGAATCTAGTGTATGGAACAGCCGTGATGAACACAGTTTGCTGAGTTGGGTTTTTCTAGAGCCTAATTTTAAAAAAAAATCTGGATTAGCAAGTAAAACTCTACATAGATATCCCTATTTTAACTACCTTACATTTTTCTGAAAGAGACTTGTATGCATTATGCAATCTGAATGACTCCTGGGTTGGCTGTGTGTATTTCTTCTATAGAGGTGAGAAAGTGCAGAGCTGTTTTTGAGGTTGAGCTGTTTTTGAGGCACTAGCCCTGTTTAATCCCTTATTTCTGTACATTGTCAGGGGCATCAAAAATTGTGTGGTAGGAAATTCTATCTATGAGGACAATGTTACTATCGTAGATTTTAAGGGCTGAAGTGAGCATTAGAATCAGATAGTCTGAGCACCTGTATAACAGAGTGCAAGGAACCCCACCCAGTAACTTCTGCAGCAAGCCCATAGCTTTGTTTGAGCTATAACTTGTCTTTTAGAAAGATGTCCTGTCTTGACTTAAAGACTGCAAGTGATATCTTGGTCTGAGCCATTTGAAGACTGATGGCCACCAATACCCCTGGACCAGATTTTAACAAGAATGGTGGAGGTTTCCACTGACTTCCAAAAGAAGTGCTGAAGACTTGGACAAACCTTTTACTATACCTGTATTTTCTGTACCGTCTAAACTCTGTCAGTTGTGTAGCAAGAAATTTGGTCAAACTCCTGAAGACTAATTTTGCTTAATTATTTACGTACATTTAGTGCACGTTGGACTCGTTGAGACTCTATTTCCAGTTCAACTTGGACAATGTATCGGAATCCTGTAAAGTGACCTTCCGCGGCATCCTGGCTAATATGTCTTCATTACACACTTCCTGATTGAACCTTGATTGTTAGTCTGTAGCAAGAAAGGAACTGATGTTGAGCACAGTTGGGATCCTCAACTGCTCCCAACTTCTATTGTTGTCTTTTATTCTATTAAAAGAAAGCAGCTATTCTTGCTTTTTGAACCCTTTATCACATTTTATAAGTATCACTCCGTATTTTAATGTGGTGATGCATTTCCAACTATCAGTGGGACACCGGTCTCAAAGCACAGGATTTATTTGATTCCTCTTGAAGAAATTTTTAAAACCACAGTAAACTCAAGTCATTCTTCTTGTCCCTTATCCATTCTATGGTATCTCCTCAAGTAACAGCAGATAGAGTAGCTGTCATCAATCAGAAATATTTATCCTGACAAGCTAAAATGATCTCGCCATGTTATTGCAGGAAAACAGAATGCCATATCTCAATACATCAACATTATAGGAAGTTAAATGTTTCTTTTCCAATGGATGCTAATTCTTTAGATTTGCATTTCTCAAACCAAGGCTGGTATCCTGGAGAAGCATCATATCGGTAGCGAGAGAGAAGTAAATGAGCCAAGAGAAAATGGATAAATTAATTTTTCTTTCCTCTGGTGCATGTTTTCAGTTTACACTCAGCAAACTCTTTTACCATCCATCAAATATTCAACACATGATGCTGTTTTGTGGAGTCCTGAGTGGAAGTGACCCATCAAGAAAAAAAAATTAATGGAATTCCCCTGGCAATGTGCTTTATTTTTCTAGAACACAATATATTTCAAGAGGAAAATCTCTCTCTTACAAATGCCTTCATCTGGTAATACCTGAGCTAAGATTTGGGCACCTAAGGAAGTGGGCCTGATTTTCAAAGGTGCTGAGCATGCAGCAGCTCCCATTAATATCATTAGAAGTTGCTGGATGCTTAGTACCTTTGAAAATCAGGCCATTTATTTAGGTGCCTAAATAAGAATTCAGGAGACTAACTTGAGACTCCTTACTTTCGAAAATCTGGACCCTTTTGTGTATATTTAGGCAAGGGCCATTATGGCAGAGCTTTCGAAATTTTACAAGCATACTTGACCTGCTTTTGTGGGTTAAATTTATGCTCTGTGGGAGAATTAAGTGTCCGGTTGTCAGGGAAATGAGCACTTGAGTAGCTACTTTCTCACTGAAGGTGCTTTGGGGCAGGGAATGTATCTCCTTGTATAACTTTGTCACCTAGATTAGAACATTTTGGGAGTTACTGTTACATAAACAGGCTTACCAGAATTAAATGTTTATTTGTTATAATTTTAACAGATAATGTCAATGTTTATTTAAATATTTTTTCTGTTTTTATAGATTTAAATTTTTACAATTGCACAAAATTATGGGTTTCAAGCATTTTTTTATTTTTATAGATTTAAATTTTCAGAGTTGCAGGAAATTGGAAGGACGATAATTATTTAATGACAGTAGATGCTGACATTCAAAAAGTTAAAGCTTTATAAATGTTAAAACACAAAATTGTCAACATCACAGCCTTCACAGGTCAAAATATACAAAGTAAATATCCTTAAATCAAATTTTAATAAGTTCTTAAGTGGCATTTTTCTTACTTTGCCTATCTGTAAATTTTAGTTATTATCAATGGAAATAATTTTACCCTGGTTGGAGAATGTATGGTGAAATCAGTGTTTACCAACATTTATTATAAAAATTTAATACGTCCAAGCCCATATATAAACAAGTGCTTAAACAGGGAAAGAAAAGTACCGTCAATTTTCTTAAACTGTCAGCTTTCTAAGAACTGACACTTTGTTAGAAATTTTCTATTCATGAGGTATTGTTTCTCACCAACAAACTTGGAGAATAACATCTGGCAAGTTGTCGAAGTGAATTTCCAGGAAACTATGTAAACTTAGATTAACAGGGAAATAACCATTCCAAAGAGAGAGTACCAGCTCCAGGGATTTTTCTGCCCTACACAAACTGGAAAATCTACACACCTCATGACCTACAGACAATCACATAGTAAACAGTGTGCATTTTGCTGTCCTTGGACACAGTCTGTTCTGCCTGTGTGACACAGCAAGAACTGCAAAAGCCTATCTGATTTGCACTTCACCAAAGAGAAAGGAGTTTAATCTCTTGATATGGGCAGTCTCTGTCCATTGTTAACATTGTTTTTTTATTGAGGAAAATCTCTATAAATGATATTGAGAGGAATTATTTATTAAAAAGTCATGAGTTTAAACTAGTCGATCTGAATTATAGAGTTAATACATTAAAAAATGCATTCTCCTTTTATTCCCTCAGAAACAAGGATGTGTACTGAAACATAGTGGACAGTGAGGTCATCGTAATTTCTGTGCATGTGCAGATTTTAGTCATGCTATCTTAAATGCATTTCCGCAGTGGTATAAAGTGGGTCGTTAAGTACATAGCAGCTTTTATTTGTGGGAGGTGGAATAAAGATTTTTTAAAATTGTTAGCTTGTCTTTTTCCCGAAATTCTCCGATTCCTCCTTTACAGAAACAGATGACTATGCAGAGATTATAGATGAAGAAGATACTTACACAATGCCCTCAAGTAAGTATACTAGTTAATTTTGGAATATTCTTACTTGACTGAAAAGCTTCTTAGATTGCGGAAGCACTAAATTGCATTTCAAAGCCTCACAAAGAAAATGTTCTTTATGTGAGATTATGTTCTGAGGCCTCAGGAATTCTGCAGCCCTTCAAGCTCAGTCTCTAAAGCAAAGGTAAACAAATTCTATGATATATTTTACTGTACTCAATTGTATTACAGTAAAATCCCATCTCATACCAAAACACAGCATTTTCAATTGTGTTGATGACATGGAGGAAAACACATAGCTCTTGTGAATTGATGTCTTCAAAGGCAAAAGGCTAATACACCATCTGCTGAAATTATTTTGTGCCATTGTCGGAAATTGGAAGGCTAGTGTTAACTACCCTAAAATGAAAATCTGGTGTTAAAAGTTCTGGAAGCAATTTATGTTGGGATTGGCTGTGTAATTTTTTATTGCTAACCTATAATAGAATAGTAACAGGTACATGGATTTGCAGAAAACTCTCACTTCAATCATACCTGTAGCTAAGGAGTGGGATGATGGGGGGAAAACCCAGTGACATAGTTAAATTCATACCCATGTTTTAAATTCAGGAATGTTCAAGGGTATGATTTACTTAAGTCTTCTGCAGTCCTGGTTTCTTGTCACAGCGGAGGGACATTTCATTCACCACTTAGGCATTCAGAATAGAGCATTGGTTTGTTGCTGAGGAATTTGTATGGCAACAAGAAAACATACGTTTATTGAAAGTGAATAATACATTTTGAGTAGTGTACAGAAAATCACTGCATTAATCTACTTTAAAGTAATACCCAGGATCACAGAGAAATATGACAAATGGGATAGTTTATTCATTGTAAAAATGGATATTGCATATGAATAATCATGCAGTCCTTACTAGGATGAGAACTTTAACCTGTGGGCTCCTGCAAGGTGCTAAGCACTTTGATCTGATGAAGCAAAACACTAAAACATGCCTTTAACCCTGGTCATGAGAGAAGTCCAATTCAAGTCATGTGCTTACATGCATCTTGCAAGTTTGAGCCCTGCTTCAATAAAGATTGCAGGATCAGGCCCATGATTTGTGTTAGTACAAACATAAAATCACTTGGGTAAGTTATCATTTTGGCAAAGCTAACATTTTTCATCTTTTTAAATATTATGAAATATTTGTCCAAATGTCTCGTTAATTTTAAGAAGATATTTCTAAGTGAGTGTTTGATTTTTCTCTTAAATGCACTGCAGAAAGCTATGGAATAGATGAAGGTAACAGGAGCTCCTTTAACCATCTCTGTGTGCTTGCAATTTTGGAAATGTTGTGGAGTTTTTCAGTTTAAAGTTGTTTACTTTCATTTAATAAGCATTGTGTTAATTGGTTTAATTGTGTTTCTATAGTTAAACCAATTCTTTGGTTAGCTTTGGAATTTTAAAGAGGAAAATGCAATATTTTGAAAATACATGAAAAAGGCATTTATTGCTTTAGTTTCCAGTTAGCTGATGTCATTTCTGTAGCGCTAATAATGCCATAAAATTATCAGGCATGAGGCCTATGCTGGATGAGAATCAATTTTTTTCCCCTGGAGATGATGACATCAGTAGAAATTCACACTATATGTGTTTCCACTGTTCCCAAAATAGTATTTTTTTCAGTGCTTGCCAGAAATTAAATTGCCAACTAAATAATTCACCTGGAACTGAATAAACCTGATTGCTGAACTAGTGAGCCATTTCTTGTCTTGGGTGTACCTAGTCTACTAAAGAACAAAGCTAATAAAATTGTATAAATCACTGAACATTTTATGTCAATTTTGTACCAGTTATACACAGCTAGAAAAGTGTGATACAGTCAGAGTTTTACACTTTTTCATTTTACTTTTTACAGTCATCTGCTTCCATTTTTTTCCCCTGCAGCCACCTCTTTAAAAATACTTTTGGCTCATTTGATGGTTCAGAGATCTAAACTATCATATAGTGGAATCCTCTTAAACATATGGCTTTAGGTTGTAGTTAATTAATTCCATATTACCCTAGGCTATTTGTGTTCCTTTCCTTATTCCTTTAAAAGCCATAATTAAGAAGGATTTAATTATATTTATTGCATTGAAATTAATATTGCATAGTAATTAATTGAGTAAGTCAGATTTCACTGTCTTATTCAGGGCTTTCATTCAAACAATTGTTTAAGAGGATTCCACTGTGTATATAGTTTTTGTCTAGGTTGGCTTTCAGCAAATTTAAATCTTAGTTATTCAAATGTTAGGCATTGGAGTGGGTTACTTTGAGTTTGGCGTCTTGTGGATTATTTCATTTGAATGCTTTTCATCAGTAGTTTGAGGTTTAAATCCATTGTATTATTACAGCCAGAGATTATGAGATTCAGAGAGAGAGAATTGAACTGGGACGCTGTATCGGAGAAGGACAGTTTGGAGATGTACATCAAGGAGTTTACATGAGTCCAGTAAGTATCTTTTTTAATATGAACATATATTTTCAGAAAATCTACTAGAAACCTGATGTGTCTTATCTGTGGTCCACCTGAGTGAACTAATGCTGATTGATAGTGGCTTGATGTAATAGTATTTATAAAAAGTATAGCATTTATATAGTGCTTTAATATGTTAAAAAATTGCTGTAAAACATTAATCCCCATAGTGCCCCTGTGAAGTAGCTACTCTAGGTACTATTATTCCCATTTTACAGATGGGAATACTGAGACAAAGTAAACTTGCCCAGGCCCACACACAAATCATTGATTGAGCCAGGATTAGAACTGATGATTTTTTACTCTACCTTGTGCTATTTCTTCTTCATCTGGATAATATCTCAGCATGCTTAGGTTATCTGTCTTGGGAACAGAACAATGTGACTTGCCCCACTTGCTGGGGGCCACATTTTCAAAAGAGCTCATCATCTAGTCTGGCCACTTGTTCAGTGTCTTAATGGAAACTGAGCTCTCTTGAAGACTGAGTTTCAGTTGTGGGTGCTGAGCTCTCTTGAAATATCTGACTCTAGTCTGTGATATTACTCTTTTACTAGTGAAGATACTTAACTACGTAGTGAGATTTTCTGGTGATAATGTTAGATGGTCTCACACCCAAGTTTTAACTGTCTAATTGCCTATGTGAAACAAGCTGGTGGTCTGCCTCAATCTTGGTAAACAAGTATCCACTATACGCAACCACTCTCATAGCTGATTTTAATTGCCCCTCTCTCCCCCCACCCCTTTCCCAAACTCAGCAAAGAGGCTAAAGATTAAGGCCCCAATCCTGGAATTTACAATGCATCGGCAGATTGTTGTGCCCACATGGAGCTCCATTGAAGTCAGTGGGGCTCTGCATTGGCAAAGCAGTTGGCCTACACATTGTAAATTGCAGGCTTTGATCAGCACTAAACATACACTTGCACAAACGAATGCCTTAATCAAATTATTACTTGTCGCTTTCTTTTCAGAAGATATATAGTAATTTTGTCCCAGATCCAGCAATGCACTTTTAAGCATGTGAGTAGTCCAGCTGATGTCAGTGAGACTAATGTACTTAAAGTTAAGCATGTGCTTAAGTGTTTTGCTAGTTTAGGGTCATCAAGACTAAAAGGACGCATTTTTGAGGATCTGAAAATAAGTGAAAAATTAATTTAATGGAAGTAAGTGAGAGAGATTTCTAAAAAGTCTTTTTTTCTGATTGATAACAAAATTTATAGAAAAGGCTCCTGTAGCTGGTTAAAATGTCTTATGATCTGATTCTGCACCCATTTAAGTCAGTGAAAGTTTTGTTTTCTACAAATTCGATGAAAGATTAGTCTGAAAAATTACTGTTAAAAGTGATATTGTTAAAGTGCTGTATCTTGGAATCTAAAAAACAAGCTGATTTATTCCCAGTAGTTACTAAATTGCATTCAAAGAATCTTTAACTCTGTTAATTGTGCACAAGTCATAAAAGAATCCAGCCCACCATTCACTCTTACAGAATGTCACTTTTACATTAAACATTCATAAGATAGGTAACAGCTGGTAATCACTAGCAGCCTTTGATGCTAAAGTCTGAATGGAAAATGCATGTATAGGACCTTACATCTTAGGGGTAGGAATTGAGGCAAATCAGAACAAACTTGAAGGACTTACATCATAGAATCATAGGGTTGGAAGGGACCTCAGGAGGTCATCTAGTCCAACCCCCTGCTCAAAGCAGGACCAATCCCCAGTTTTTGCCCCAGTTCCCTAAATGGCCCCCTCAAGGATTGAACTCTCAACCCTGGGTTTAGCAGGCCACTGCTCTAACCACTGAGCTATCCCTATCATATCATGTATAAAAAGCTATTCGTTTTTCATGACTCAGGATCATTATCCTTGTATTATAATGGCAGATTTAGCACAGTCATCCATATCCTTAATATTATCTCTCCCTCCACCCCACCCAAAATCTTTTCCTAACCAATTTAATATTTTTTCTCTTTATTTACCTCATCCTGTGACTGTCCCTCTACATTTATCTTGCACATTGCCAGGAAATTCTTGCTAGTTACAAAGACTTAACCTATTTCACTCAACAATAAAACTGATTACTATAAAATGTACAACAGTAGAAATCTCCAAAATACCCTCTGTAGAAACCATACTGCATACTTATGTCAGAATAGAATAAAATCATCTAGATTTACAATTATATCCTAAAATATTATAGGTTACTTAGATAAGGCCTTCAGTTATTCAGAGTACTGTTTGAGTGTGAGAAAAATAGATCCACAAAATCAACTTTAAAATGACATGGGGTATTTTTGTGTTTAAAATGTATTTGTTTCTCTCTCAGGGTCCTTCTTAGAATTGTAATATAGTTTCATCCCTGGGATTGAAAGGGAGCAAGATTAAGAAACAGATGCTGTGAGTGACCCAGAAAATAGATATTAAAATTGTTTAAACCCAAGAAGTATAATCTTTCCTTTATCCCAGTAACATTTGTATGTAAAAATAGAAATAATAATAGGAACAGAATGAACACACGCCAGGATTAATTATCCTGTGAGGTGCCCAGCATCCTCAACTCAATTTAGCTCAGAGAGAGGTAAGGAGGTCAACTCCATAAGCAAGAAGATGATGTTCCCTGGCTATCTAAGTAGCATTTTTGAGCAGAAAAGAATTTTTAATCTCATCTCTGCAAATAGTGCATAGTTCTGTCATTTAGGCCCTGGTCATTGCACACTTAATACAGATAGTAAAGTTAAGGCATGTCAGTTGTCAGTGAACTCAATGGGACAACTCATGTGAGTTGCATGTTCGCAGGATCGGGGTTTTTGTATTGGGACATGCGAAATTAATTGTATTGGCTCAGATATCATCACCAAGATATGCTTCCATTGGAGCAGTTGTTATGGTGACTTGAAAGAGCTGTTGTTTTGAGAATGCTGCAAAACCACAAGTAAATGAATGTTACTATCTTGTTTTGAAGATTACCTATTCAGTTAATTTGGATTTAAAATGAATATTTCAAAATAACATTTTTCAGTAGAAATGAAGCTTGAACATCCTAAAGCTTTTTACAAAAGAAAAACTGATGCTGCTTCTGTGTGCTGTCTGCAACCTATAAAAAAAGTATTTATAAAACATACCATAGAAAAAGAAAATTAAAGATGATGTCTTAGCCCAGGAGGCCTCCTTCAGGCTGTATCAACAATATTTTCATTTTTCTACACCTAGAGGAGAAAAGATTGGCTGCTATATTTTGTTTATTTCTGATTTTGAATATAGATGAAGTACAAAAACAATCTTTTAAATCCTTCTTTTAACTGGTGGGCAGGCTATTTCATAAAATATTTACTGAACATTCTTTCTCAGCGTATGCGTTAAATAGAAACATTTAATTACTGTGCATCCTATTAATGATGTGGTTATTATTAAAGGCTTGAGTCAGTCAAAATTACATTCAGCTTCCCCAGTGCGGAAGCCTACAAAAGAGTGTGAAACCCTGAGAAAATCCTTTGTGTGGCTTTTCATAGGTTTCTTTGTTGCACAAGCCAAATACATTTTTAAAGCTGGAAGCAATTTGTTTCCTCTGCATCACTTAACATTGTGTCCATAGTGTGCCACCTTTTCAGCAATGTTAGAAAATGCATACCAAGGTTCAGATTAGCTGGTCATCTGTTTTTGTAATTATCTATTATTGTAAATTAGAGTAATACTTTCAGACTGATCAAGTTTAACTTGATGTTCTAGATGTAAACGTAATGTAAAATATGTTGGTTATAAATATTTAATCTTTTATATTTTTATTAATTCATGAACACTTTCATGTTCCCAGTGGTTTTTTAACTAAATATTGTGCTTAGCTAAGCATCTGTTACTGTCTCTTAAAACACATACTGTAGTTTAAGAAGTGTATTTGTGATTGGTTTCATTTTTATTATTTGAGATTTCGCTCTTGCAGGAAAATCCAGCTATGGCTGTTGCAATCAAAACATGTAAAAACTGCACTTCAGACAGCGTGAGAGAGAAATTCTTACAAGAAGCCTGTAAGTTACGAAACATTTCCTTTGGTCTAACTTTTGGAAACAGTCCTTTAAAACACTTTATTTCTTTGCAGGTTTCTCTTTCTTGAGGTCCGTTTAGCTTTTTGTGCCACATACTATTGATACATTTTTAAACATTTTATTAATACGCATGAGCTTGGTCCTGTCCTTTGATATGTGGCATACAGCTCTGCTTAAATCTTAAAAATCAGCCATTTTGCTTATCTGATTTTCCAAATTAAATGGTGCTGCGTGACACATTTAAGACTTCAGGAAAGAGACCTTTTTGGAAAGTTAAGTGAGACTTAATACCCCATATCCTCCTTTCCCCATTAGATATTACAAACCCTAACCTATTGCAATGCATCATAACAAACTCCAGAGGGACAGGTCTTTCTGTTTGATAGTAATATTGCAAAGACTTTATGCCACGAGAAGGGATTTGTTAAATTGTTTGGGAGACCGTAGGGGCCTACATTTTGAATATTTGGAGCAAAAATTTCATCATAACCTGAACTCACCATGTTAACAAAATCAGCATTTATGCATACAGAGGAAGGCTTTGCAGATCTTTGTGAGTGTGTTAGCCCTGGTCTACACTAGGACTTTAGGTCGAATTTAGCAGCATTAAATCGATGTAAACCTGCACCCGTCCACATGATGAAGCCCTTTATTTCGACTTAAAGGGCTCTTAAAATCGATTTCCTTACTCCACCCCTGATAAGTAGATTAGCGCTTAAATCGGCTTTGCTGGCTCGAATTTGGGGTATTGTGGACACAATTCGACGGTATTGGCCTCCGGGAGCTATCCCAGAGTGCTCCATTGTGACCGCTCTGGACAGCACTCTCAACTCAGATGCACGATTGTTTGCTGTTGCTCTGACGCAGGGAGGGGCGACTGAGGACACAGCTTACAGGGTTGGCTTCAGGGAGCTAAAATCAACAAAGGGGGTGGCTTTACATACAAGGAGTATTTCAGGCAGGACTTCACGGAGGGTTCCAATAAGAAATGGTGCACCTAAGTTATTGTTCTTATTGGAACAAGGAGGTTAGCTTGGCCTCTGATTGATACATGGCTAGATTTACCTCGCTGCACCTTCTCTGTGAGTGACTGCAGTGTGACCTAGAGGAATGAGTCACCTAGACGGGGGGGGGGGGGGAGCAAATGAAAACAAAACAAGTCTGGTCTATTTCTCTATTTCTATCCACTCCATCTATCTTTTACATCTTTGGCTGGCAGCAGACAGTGCAGAAGGACTGCATACCATCCACATCTCATGGCTGCTCAGCAGAAGATGGTACAGTACGACTGCTAGCCATCCTTATCTCTTGCCTGCCCGGCAGAAGATGGTACAGTACGACTGCTAGCCATCCTTATCTCTTGCCTGCCCGGCAGAAGATGGTACAGTACGACTGCTAGCAATCCATATCGCCTGCCTGCTCACCATAAGACGGTTCAGTAGGACTGACTGCAGGACTAAAGAGAATGACCTGGTCAAGTCACTCCAAATTTAGTCCCTGCGCCCATGTCTGCCCAGGCGCTCCCAGCCGACGTGGCCAGGAGCACCTCGGACACGACGAGGACGGCTACCAGTCGTATTGCACCGTCTGCTGCCAGAAGGCAATGGGTCGCTGCTACTGTGTAGCAATGCCGTACCGCGTCTGCCAGCACCCAGGAGACATACGGTGACGGTTACCTGAGCAGGCTCCATGCTTGCCGTGGTATGGCGTCTGCACAGGTAATTCAGGAAAAAAGGCTCAAAACGATTGTCTGCCCTTCCTTTCACGGAGGGAGGGAGGGAGGGAGGGAAGGGGGGCCTGACGATATGTACCCAGAACCACCCGCGACAATGTTTTAGCCCCATCAGGCATTGGGATCTCAACCCAGAATTCCAATGGGCAGCGGAGACTGCGGGAACTGTGGGATAGCTATCCACAGTGCAACGCTCCGGAAGTCGACTCTAGCCTCGGTACTGTGGAAGCATTCCGCTGAGTTAATGCACTTAGAGCATTTTCTGTGGGGACACACACACTCGAATATATAAAACCGATTTCTAAAAAACGACTTCTATAAATTCGACCTTATTCCGTAGTGTAGACATACCCTTAGAAAATGTATCCATAAAAGTTCAACTGAATATTCATAATTGGGTGGGATGGGGCTGGTGGGGTTAACCTCCAAAAAGAATTCCTAAGAGATTTTCTTTCCTTAACATCCTGTTTTGTAAAATAAATTGATATTACAGGACCTAGAACTGTCTTATTTCACGTTCTTCTTGTTCATTGCTATTGTACGCCTGTGAGATCATGTAAAATCACTGTATTGCATCAATATATTGATTGTTTAAGGCCAAAGGTAAGAAGACATTCCTATTCCATGTCAATCACCTTTTTAAAATTCTCTGTACAAAATTGCTATGTTCAATGCTAAAGGTTTATTCCTTTTTGAGTGCAAGGTTTTTAATTAAAAACATGGTATGTATCTAGCTGTGTGCTCCTTTTTAGTCACTGTAGGAAACTCAGGTATTGTTCACAGTACTTACTAAGCAAACAAAGAGAAGGTTGTTGAAACATGGTAGGTTGATGCTTCCTAACAATACAGAAAAGAATGATTTATGTATGAGAGAGCTTCTGTTTGCATCTTGAACATGGCAAATCAGAAAAGGCCAAATAGTAAACAGATGAGCACTGGTTTTTTAGTAGAAACCTAGAAAAGATTCTTTCCTGAAAGAAGATGATCAGCCTGTGTTAGGTCATTTTGTCCATCCCTAGGCCCATGCAGCATGGCTCCCACAGTACATGCTTGACACAATCTAGTTCTAAGTGATTTGCTTTCCATCACTTTCCCTAGTTGACTATTTCACAGTGACCTCATCCTTCTTTCATTTTCTATTCTTATGTTCTAACTTTCCTTGCCCTGTCCCTTCTTCTCAGCCTCTCACTCTCATCAGGTTAAGAACATAACATAAGAATGGCCATACTAGGTCAGACCAAAGGTCCATCTATCCCAGTATCCTGTCTTCCGACAGTGGCCAATGCCAGGTGCCCAAGGGAATGAACAGAACAGGTAATCATCAAGTGATCCATCCCCTGTAGCCCATTCCCAGCTTCTGGCAAACAGAGGCTAGAGACACCATCCCTCCCCATCCTGGCTAATAGTTACTTCCTTTCCCATGACAAGAATCCTTTGGGTCTCCCCTATCATTTAAAAAAAAGAAAGAAAGAAAGAAAAACACCCTTGGCACCATCTCCTGCTCAAACTATCTCCCAATCTCCTTTCTTTCTCCGCCTTGTCTCCAGATTCATTAAACGTGCTGTCTACAATAGACCTTTGGAGTTCCTTTCCTTCAATTCTCTTCTTGACCCTTTTCAATCTGGCTTCCATCTTCTGCACCCCACTAAACTGTTTTTCCTAAAGTCTCTAACAATTTCTTGTTGGTCAGATATTGGACCTGTACTCCATCCTTATCCTCTGTGACCTTTCAGAAGCTTTTTTGTATTGTTGTCCTTTCCTACATCTTGATATTTTGTCCTCCGTTGGCTTCTGTAGTTCTGTTCTCTCATGATTCTCTTTTGAGCTCTGTGAACCATCTTTTAGTGTCTTGTTTGGTGAGTCATCCTCCTTCCCTCTCCCCTTTTCTGTGTGTGTCTTTCAAGGCTCCATTCTTTGCCTCTGTTCTTCTCCCTGTACAGTGGCTTTGACTACTGTTTTTGTGCTGATGACTCATAATTCTACCTTTCTACTGATGAGCTAGCTTACTCCCTCCTTTCAATCTAGTATTTCACCCTGTCTTTCTGACTTTTCATTGTGGATGTCCAGTCATCTTAAACTCAACATTTCCAAAACTGAGCTCTTGATTTTTTCCCCTCAAGGCTTTTCTTCTTCCCTTTTCTCCCTCACCATTGATTATATCTTCCCAATCATACAATACCAACCATAATTTGGATGTCATCTTTGACCCTGTCCTCTGTTTGGACCCACGTATTCAGACCCTTTCAACATCTTTCCACTTTTTCCTACACAACAGCTCTAAAATCCAGTCTTTTTCCTTTCTGTCCAGACAGTCAAAATTCTCATCAAAGCCCTCATCGTTTCATGTCTTCGCTACTGTAATGTCCTCCTTTCTGACCTTGACTTCTGCAACCTTGGCCCTGAAACGTCTATTCAGATTACTGCTGCCAAGATAATCTTCTTGGTTTACTGCTCTGACCACATCAGCTCCCTCTTGAATCCCTTCACCAGCTCCCCCTTCACCTCCACATAAATACAAGCTTCTTGTCTTTACTTTTAAGGCCCTTCACAGTGTAGGCACTCCCTACCTGGCTTATCTGTTAACCCATTGCAAAGTTGACCTGCACTGTGTCTCTGCCAGCATTCCCAGCCTTAAACATACTATCCCATCTGCATAGGAAAATGTTCTCGGTAAATATCCACACAGACTCTTCCTTATCCTTCCTCCGATCCTTTCTTAAGACACTCTTCTTCTGTGAGGTGATGCATATAAACCCAAGTTGTTGATCATGGATGGGCTGGTGACAAGCTATTGTTGTTCCTTTTCCCCTTCTGTTCTTTTTCTGTTTCCTTATTTCCTTAAAAAAACAACTTACAATCTCCATGTAACTAACACAGCTGGGCCAATTCCTCACAATACTAATTTGTTTGTGGGTATGCTTGTATCCCCATTCATTCCCTTTCACTTGTGTGTGTCTTCAGATCGTTAGCTCTCTGGGGTAGGGATTGACTCCTTTCCATATTACTACAGTGTCCAGCACAGTGGATCCCAACCTCGACTGGACCCACTGGACACTACCATAATTTTAATACTTACAGTAATAATAATTTACAGGTGACAGAGCTGACTCTGGTTTATGTTGCTTCAAATGTTTCTGATTTCGATTCATAACCTGTGGGGTTTGGGTTTTGTTTTTTGAGGGGAGAGGGAGGCTTGTTTGGGTTTTTTATGCTGATACAAAAGTGATAGTGCAGGTCCTTTAACATGAAA